TATCTGTAGCAATATATTTGCATAGCCTTGATATGACTGACTTTCATATCCCTGTCCTTGCGTTGCACTTCTGATAATGTGGGTTTGTATAACCCTATTACTGTTTTTCTTCTTAAAAGAGTAGCTGCTCTGTTCATTGGCAGTCAGTAAGAATTGAAGCTGCAAGTGAGAATCAAAGAAAATAAGAGTGATTAATTAAAAACAAAAGGAGGATGAGTGCAACCTGTCAGTTGTTTGCTTTTGCTGTTTGTTGTAAATTTATCTTTCTAAATCTTATAGACTTCCTTCATTTCCATAGTAACATAAACTAATTATGTGTACTGGGTTGGATTTGTTGACTTGACTGAAGGACCAGGTTAAACACGCTTGGCTGTTTCAGTGGCATAACAAGTGGTACCCATGAGTTAGGTAATTAAATTCACTACCATTTGACATTTAACTGTAAACATAAGCTTGAGAATTTGGAATTTTGACCCACTTTTGTGACTGTAAATGGTCATGTAATGGGAAACCACATTGGCTTTGTTTATGTTATACTTCAGTGCCTTGATCAGAATGTGTTACGCTCTAGGCTGTGCAGGCTGACCGTTCTGCAGTTCATAGTTGTACCACCACACAGTACTGTTGAAGGTCATATATACATATATATATATATATATATTATTTTTTTTTTTTTTTTTTTTTTTTTTTTTTTTTTTTTTTTAACTTGGGCGTTAATGACATTTGTCATCCTGCAGATTAAAATAAATGCATGCAGCATTATCATGGGTACAAGTAATCTTACATCAGTTAGCCACAGCAACAACACCAACTCCTTAATATTATATAGATCTGCTTTGTACCCCCAAAGTAGCCTTTACCATTCAGTGTATGAACATTGGTGCACTGGGAATGCACGTTTTCACATTTGCAAATGTGCAAGATCCTTCGGGTCCTGAGAGTACATAAATAAGAGTACAAAATACCATCCTGAGCAGTAACCAGTCATTGGCTGTAATACCACTGTCTGGTGTGAGGAGTAATATTGGTACTAATATTGATATTGGCCAGATGGCACATGATTCATTATAGCTATTCATGTTTTTTGCTTTGGTTGCCTTTGTCATATGAAGGATGTGTCATCCCTTGAGCCCTTTTCTGACATGGGATACATAAATCTTTATCAATGCTTCGCCCTACATGCGGTTACGAAAACGCGTCTATATACACTTTACTAAAATTAACTAAGCAACAACAACAAAAAAAATATAAATTGTGTCTCTATGTTGGGGATATTATTTATGGCACCCTGTACATAAATTCACACTACATTCTCACTTTGTAGAAGGTTATGATGCCTGTAGTCTGCAAACTAACCTTAGTTCCTGTTAATGTACTTGCCAAAGCTCAGATTATTTTCATTACTGGTGAATCTCTAGTCTGACACGTCAGTTTTCATTCAGACTGTTAAGTTTTATTCCATAAACATTTCAGTCTTTAATACAGCAACTTGAGTGAAGAAAAACTCAATGTAGGAGAGGTCTGTGTTCATCTTTTTCAACTAAAGTCTTGCTCACAAAAAATGGAAAAGCAGAAGCACAGAAAACTGCAGGACCATAATCTGGGAGTTCTCTGCACGACATCAGAGTCACCAAAAGGGGAATCGAGGTTGGTCATGACACAGGCGCCTGAGGCTAAGGACTATAAATTATTTCCTGCTATTTACAGATGATAAATGTTGCAGAAAAACTATACCAGCTAGGTTCATAAATTTAGTACCAGATAAAGTCAGAAGGGGGATTGCTGTCATATACGTTCTGCAGCGTCAGTTTTCACCGGTGACTGATAATAATGCCCAACTTGTGCAGATTTATAATCCAGCAAACTGTCAGTTATATCGCAGATTCTGCTAACATTAACGTACTAAACACTACTTACAAACCAACCCTTTTTTGGTCTTTAAACGTTTTTTTTAAATGGAAATTTAATTGTTGCAATTATACTCGTGTTCATATCTTGGCTGTTACTTGTCTCTGACAAGCTGGCAACTTGTTTTGGGCTGCTATCACTGCCAATACTCAGCCATACTCGGCTGAATTGTGTTAGAAGCATCGTGTTAACCTCATAATCCCGTAGTCCTAATTCCTCCAAAACACAGGTGAATCCTTCAGCGCCATTTCTGCAGGAATTTAAACTGTTCCTGTGGTCTTCCCCTGTTTTTTTTTTTTTTTTTTTTTTTTTTTTTTTTTTTTTGTAATATTAGCCATCTTTTATCATCCTTTTTCTTGTGCAAGATTACACAAATTCCTTGATACTGGCACAAGTACTGTGCATCAGCTTTGACATCAGCATAAAGCTGTCATCAGTGGTCACCAGTAACTATTAGCTGTCTTCATGAATGTGGTGTTTCTAAGAATTTCTTTTTGGGAGTAGGCAGCATATTGGTCATTAGAGAGAGTGTATTGCCCCCCTGAGAGAAGAAGTCTGGGAAAACAAACTACAGTGTAGTCATTTAGCTTGGTCACTCCCATAATCAAGTCATAACTACTAGGTTATGAGTCAGTAAATACGTATTTTATTGAGTAGACAATCATCAGTGAACTGTAACCTCTCTTAGTTTACTCAGAATGGTCAGGATTGCATCAAGTAGCTCCTGCTGGATTAAAGTGACACTTGACGCTGATTAGGCTTGGTGTCATGTGGCATAGTTTGTCTGTGCCTGTTTGTTTGTTTGTTTGTTTGTTTTTTGTTTTCATTGATGCTATGTGATGTCTAATAATTGAAAAAGATGGCACACTGATGATGTTTGTAAAAGAGTGGTGCTTCTTTTGCTGCACTAACTGCTACCCTGTGTAAATACTTGGGAATTGCATAGTATTAACACTACCGGGGGCATGGGGGATTTCCAAAGACCTTAAATAAGCACTTTCTCGTGGTGCTTGAATATCATTTGCAAAAGCCTTCATACGCCTGTGTCTGTGCTGCCATTGCTGCTGCTGCTGCTTACAAACTTTGAAATTTTAGTGAGACTTTTGTGATAACTTGGAGTATATACTTAAGTCAGACTTCAGATAACTGAGTAATCAAAATAAACATTACATTTTTAGCTGTGTTGTCGATCTTTTCAGCCACCTCACATGTAAGCTGTGCGGCCAATTTTTTTTTTTTTTTTTTTTTTTTCTCTGTGTGAATTGTGTGCTTTTTGGGTTACACAGTAAACCATCTCTTAAGGGATGTGTTTAGCTTTCCACTCCATAGATGACTCTTTGAGTTATCTTTCTCACCAAAAACAAAGGATGACAGGTTTGTTATATTACAGCCAGCTACAAGTTGACTTTGGAAAGTAGCACATTTTAAAAAGCCAGAATGTACCTTCTACTTGACACAAAGAAAACATTTTGCTCCCTGTGTGAATCTAACTAGGAAGTGGCAGGGCACATTTTTTTGGTTTTCTGGTTATTTGCTACAAGTTCACTTTGGAGTGCATTTGATTTTTAGTGGTCAAAAACTATCCAGAAGTTCCCATAAACACGGGTAATACAGGAAATTGTATTAGTGAGAATGTTTTGACAATATTACTTTAATATCACATTTTGTGACAGATTGAAGTAATAAACAGAAGAAAAATAGTCAATTTGAGCTTAAAGACATTAGAGGCATTGGCAAACCTGATGGCTGTGGTGATGGGAAAGGGTTAACACCAATGCAGCTATAAGCAGTACAGGGTTACTTCCTTTTAAGGACCTAAGTCTTAGGGAGCGTGTGATAGAGGGAGTTAGATACTGGGAAAATGAGTGAGTCACATATGGGGCAAGGGGAAAGACGGAGAGGACGAGACACTTTTTTTGTGTTGAGAGATGGTAAGAGTTAAATCATAGGCAGGATGTGGAGTGAGCAGAAAGTCGCATGGTGTGAAACACAGACTGAAACAGTAACTAAACTGAGTGTAATAGCAAAAAGAGGAAGCATTATGACAAAAAAAGATGAAGGTATAGGCTTTGAGAACTGCTGAGACGTTTGTTTTGGCAAGGACGAATCGAAATAGTCTGAATCGGTGAACAGTAGGATGCAACATTTACAGCAAATGTCACTGCAGGCACAGTACTGTAGACAAGGAAGGAAAGGGCAGTGTAAAGATACAAGCAAGGTAGATCCTTCAAGACCAACATAAACGGAAGGGGGGAAAAAGTAGTATGTACATATCAAAAGTATAGGAAAAGACAATGTGGAGGATAAGATGAATAAAACAAAAAATAAATTATTACATAGTCATAAATTCCAGAACACATGGTAAATTACAGCTAACTATAGGCTGTGCCAGTTTAATTTCTTTGTCCCTTTATGTCCATACTTTCTATATTACATGTCATCAACCATTAGTTTTTGCATCAGCATGTCACAGTGACTGTACAAGCTATTGTTTTATGCCGAATTGCCTAAGATGGGGTATAAGATATAGCCCAGTTACTGAGTAAAATTGCTCTTGCACCATTCAGTGTAGTGCTGGTAGATTTACTGCTCTTTATAGAGATATAAAAGCTATTTTTCCTCCTTAAAAATCTATATCAGCACTTGCCAAAATCCTGCTTGGCTCATTGCAGTAGCACCTCATATCTCGCCACTCAATTGTCTTTTTCCTCCCGTGAACTCCTGATGAATTGCTGCTTAAAATCTCCTAAATTTCTATGCTGTCCTGATTAACAGGTTATGTTATTAGTCTGCATCCATAAAGAACTATTTCTTGCACAATCTTCCAACTGTTAAAAAGAGTTATATTGAAAAGTTGTTTTTGGTTATTTGGGCTGAGGCTTAACAGGTGAGATTGATGTCATGTATTTTTCAACAGTACCACCATAGTTTTTGCTGCTGTGACTTATCTTGCTTATTTTAGGTGTTGAACTTTAAAAAAAGAGCCCAAAGTTCACAAGCTTGATCCTTGTAATCTCCATCCTACTGCTGGTGGTATGAATGTGCAGTTATGAACTGATGTGAACTATAATTTTGTTGAAATATTAAGCATTTTCAGAGTGTGCTCTGTCTATTTGGTAAGGTCCCAATTTGCTAGATGCAGTAATTGGCAGGTTGCTTGACACTCATAATTTGACTCTGGTATGACGCACTGCAACCAGCAGGCATGATATGTCAGCGTTCTTGATACCTGCATTGCACTACACATTTTAACCCAGTATGACACAAAAAGATGCCACAAGGTTTGTTATCGATCTGCTTCCTCTCTGTAAAGCAACCACATGTGTTGGCACATTCAGAAACCACACACTGAACTGATTTATCAGAAAACAGTGAGAATACTGTTCTTGATAAGACAATTGAGATCAAATTATTTAATTTTTACTGCAAAGCTATTTTGTCACCACTTTTTTTTTTCCAGTCTTTTTACACTTGCTGCTTAGTTCACCTAGAGTTATGGGGAAAAAAAAAAAAAAACATTTGGTCAACAAGACCAGTCTAAAAGGAATAAGTTGTTGTAGCTCTCTTGTTGCCCAAAAAAAGAAAAAAAGACAAACATTCACTACTCTGGGACTAAGACTCTGAGACGACCCAGTCGCCCACCATGTCCACCTATTGTATCCCTACTAGAGCTGTGCTGTGTCATATTGCCCAATAATACCAGTATAAATGTTTATGTGATATTAAAATGTCATATCATGATATCATTGCTATAGCAACATTATGCATTTACCTTAGTTGTTGTGTGCACTAGGGAGATGAGACTAGGTATGTCTGTGAGCAAAGCTGCCTGTAAGGCCTCCCATGAAGATTTAGTACCTAAAAAGAGAACTAGCTTAACAGCCTATAACAAAGCGTAGTACTTTGGGAAATCTGCAAGAAGATTGTTCCTGCTAGGGAACAAGATGGAAACAGCAAACTTGGTTCACCACTTCAAAAACATACCAGTGAGTACAAGGATACAAAGGAGGAGATGCTAGAAGCTGGTGATATGCGACCCAAAAGTAAACAAACGACTCACTTGCTAGCTGCACACCATATGACAGGAAGAGCAAACAGTGGATGGAAATTACTGAGGTGGTTACATGGTAAAAAGGCAGGGTTTTAAAGCAACTGGTTAAAAATCTTGGCCCAAGATATACAACATACCAGCTAGAAAGTGTTTTTCAATTTTATTTTACAGGATTAACTCTTACTTCTGTTGCTGTTAAACTAAAGTGTTAAACAACTATATTATAGTTTTACTTAAAATTTCCAGAGAAAATACTACCTAGGCTACTTTAGTGCTTACATCTTTATGTTTGATATATTGCTGTGTCACTACTGTTGCGCTGTAATGCTCCTGGTGCTGGCACCTTGCTTCAATAGCTTCACACTTCAAATTATGTAATGGGTCATTTGTGACAGTTGCTCATTAGAAAAGGATATTATAAATAATGCTGCCTGCAAGCTGCAAGCTTTGATGAAATGTTGTTCTGTATTTTTTCTGTAGATTCAGAAATCTTCTTGAAATATTGTGATATAATTTTGAGGGTATATTGCCCCTATTCCCTACTATGCATTTAGTTAAATTTAATAAAACTGTATTCATTAAAAATCGCTGTTAAAAATTGTATTAAAAAATGTATTGTTGCCGACTGCTGATATATAGGGGTACATGTGTAAATGGTATCTGCGGAGGAGGACATGCAGGGTAATGGCAGAGAATTTTTTTCCCCCACTTCAGACCAGTCTGCCAATCCTCTGTACTTTTCCCTCCAGTGAGTGGATTTGTATTCAGTGTACAAGGGAGTGTGCAGTACTTCTCGAGCTGATGATGTGCTTTATTGAGTCTGCTTTTGAGCTTGCCAGTTATGTGTCTACATCTCCTGTTTGTGTGCCTATATGAACACCTTTCTTATGCTTTATGTATCTGTGTGGATTGCTCTTTCTGTCTTGCTGTGGGTCCAAATGCCTGTTTAAGCTACTGTTTGTAAATGCATGCGAGTGTGTTTATGTGAGATCGTGCCAGTAGAGTCTTGCTGAAGTCCTTGGTGGCTAGCTCTGGAGGAGAGGTAACACGTGAGGGGAAGCTCCACATCTGACCCTGACCCTTGACGCTCTTATCAATCAGGCCTTGAGAGGCGGAGAAAGTAAGAGGAACAGGCATAAGCATAGAGGCTAAGAGGACTGGATGAAAAAAGATGGAGAGAGGAGGAACAGATGGCAGGAACTGTTGCTGAGCAGGGAATATGCTTTAGGTGAGGGGGGAGAGAGGAATAGATAGAATACTCCAAATCACAAATGTCTGTAAAGTCGTAGTTTATTCTCAGGGCTAGTACCAACTAAGTTATTATATTTGTTTTTTTGCATTTATTGAAAGATTATTGAATGTGTGTTTTTTATATTTTGGATGTATTCATAGATCAGCTGTGAACATTTTTAGATGCAGTTGTTGTTTTTTTCTATGAGACATAAAGCCACAATATCAAAACAATAATACTAACATTTCATTTTTGCAGGTTGAGCCAAGTTGTAGGGATGAAACTATACAAATTTCTCAGTAATTGGGAGTTGCTACTGTGGAATTAGAGATGAAAAAGCAATCAATCATTACACTTCTTCAGCTATGTTTGATATGCTGGCAAAATAATGGTCTTCCCCCTCCTGTAATAGGACCTGTGCATGTGTATCATTTTTTAAACTTGAGTTAGGGTTAGACTTTAAGGTAAATTTTCTTAATTTAATAGAGGGTGTCAAATAGTCACACATAGTCTATTTTCAGTGTTGTTCTGAAAAATTGCCAGCAGCACATATATGCCAAGCACGATCAAGTCCCCGTAGGGCTGTGCGATATGTCCAAAATCTCATATCCCGATATTAAGACATCTATCGTCCGATAACGGTATAAATCACAAAAATGTAACATTTTCTGTAAATTCTGTGATCTCGGGCAGCTCGACTTGCGTGAAGTGTTTCCAGCTGGGTGTCACAAACCTGAAGTCGTGTGTTTTAACTGATGCATGAAACTATACATTTTTAGACATGGGTTGTAACGGCCGCCGTTTTCTTTGAGTATTTATTACACAGCGTGCTGCGGGGAAAAGCCTGTTCTAACATTTGAGTCCAAGGTTTATTTTTTAGCACCTGATGGCTCATTTTTGCTTCTCATCCGTAAACACTCTGCATCTTTCACGTGATTCAGTTTATTTTGAAAAGTCTCAACAGGATTTTGAGCTTTATTGTGGAAGGTTTACGTGGAACAAGTGAACACGCGGTGGTTTTACCGCTGTTGTTGCTAACGACAACTCATAAAAACAAACACTTGTCTGTCTGTAGTGTGGTTATATTCAGTGTTGGGACTAACGCGTTATTAAGTAACGCGTTACAGTAACTACGTTATTATTGTGGTAACGAGCACGGTAACTAGTTATTATGCCAAAACCAGGAACGCGTTACTCGTTACTGGGATTTAGATAGGCTCGTTATTCGTTACTTCGTGTGGTGGCTATGCGGAGCTTCCACAGATTCAATAACATTAGCAAGTGGTGGAGGCCAGCAGGTGGATGAAGGAAAAGGGAGGCAAGAGGAGAGACCCGAAGCGGCCGCTGGTCCGAGAGTGTCAGGTGAACTGAACTTCAGGTAAGAAGTTATAGACCTGCAGTCCATCTGGGTCAGATATGAACCAAGTTTAGGTGGAGTTTATTTTCGTTATGCTGACTTTTTCGTACTGCGTGCTAGCTAGCATGACGGAGTTTCTATACAGCTGGGTGGGTGCTTATGTTACTGATGTTGAACTTTATTTTGTTCATAAGGTTAATTAGTAGAGTTGCCAACCGTCCCGTAAAAAACGAATCTGTCGATTCAGAGAAAATATTACGCGTTTCGTATTGAGGTGAAAAGGACAGTTTGTCCCGGACTTCAGCTACAATGAAAAAGACACAAAGCTGGAGTTATTCTGTGTCTTTGCTGCACAGCTGCCTCTTCTTCTCTCATTCTCTCCCCCTCCCTCTCCTGTTTCTACTTCAATCATGAAACTGATCAATGATCAGCTGATCGGCTTTTCTCTCTTGTTTATTTATCGCCCACTTTGCGCCAGAAAGAGGAAACCAGCGGATGTCGGGTAAACAACAGCAGCACTTTTAAGCTTGATCAGCTGTTGTTAGAATTTATTTAATATTAATTTCTAGTATCAGCTGATGTTTGCTGGAGCCACAGCTGTAAACCTGCTGGTCATGATATCGGTTTGGATATGTGGTGAGAGGGAAACATGAAGATGAAACCAGGAGATGTCCTTACTGAATCATCAGAGCTGCGGTGATGGAGAAACAGGTTTACCTTTTAGGTGACATGAATGAGTTGAAGGGAAGTTATGAACTGTTTCTGAGAGACAAATAACACCAGGATCCTTTTCTAAGTAGCTGACAGCTGGTAACTGTGCAGGGGCGGGTCTAGCAAAGTGTTGCCAGGGGGCCATGTAGGGCATTAACAGGGAAAGGGGGGCACAAGAAATACTTTCTTATTCTCATTTAAAATGTCTCACTTTTAAAAAATAATTATCTGAATCTTACAACAAACGATTGATAGATTGATGCATATATACCATCAGAACAGTGTACATCACTGTCACAACAGTGTTTATTTTCATTCAAAGGCTTTATGATTTTTCCTATAATGGTGGGCATTTTGACTAGAGACCGCTCTAGTCAAAATGCCCGGGACAATTTTTTTGTCCCAGTCCAGCCCTGTATGCAGCTCATCTGCAGTCTGGTGTTACCTACATCTTCCTATTCAGAAGGCAGAATTTCCGAGTTCTGAGTACAATCGAAAGCACCACGACTGCAGTTTTTGTGTTGGATGTAAAAAGCAGGCTAGGATAGAATCAGGCGTGGGATTTCTCTCGTGGAAATGTGCACATCATTTTTTCCTTTCTATTGGTAGGTGGCACAGTGCACTTGTGGCAAGTAAGCAAGCTAGAAGACTGGCAATCTTGCTGGGTATCCAGTTACGGAAGCAACACATTAACAAGAGAATTCTGAGTACAACCAAAGTTACTTTCCCTAGTAACTAGTTACTCTGAAAGTAACGAGTAACTTGAAGTAACTGAGTTACTTTTGATAGAAGTAACTAGTAATGTAACTAAGTTACTAATTTAAAGCAACTTACCCAACACTGGTTATATTAAATAGAAGAGAAAGAGAGAACTTGAAGAAATTAATATAGCCACTACAGTGACCATCAAAATAATGGAAAAATATTGCTGTAAACAGTTTATTTTGCGACACCACGAAACAAACAATAGCGTAAAATGAAACGATAGACGTTTTTATATCGTCATCTGATATATATCGTTATATCAAACAGCCCTAAGTCCCCGTCACTATTTTATTCTGCCAGACTCATTCTGTTTAATAGATTGAAGACTCTAAATGGTGTTTGACTCTCTGCCAGGATGGCTAATGTAATGGACTGACCCGGTCTTTTAAAAGCCGAAAATTTCCTCCATTTCAGTGTTACTATTCCAGGAAGAGTGGTTAAACGGAAACTAGGAGGTGTGAGCAGCTAATACCAGACAAATCCAAACTTGTCACTTTTTTTCTTGTAGCACTACGCTTTGAAAGCCAGCACTGCTTCCTTAGTTTAAGTTGGGGCTCATTTATTCCTTGTTAACTGTAGCAGATCTGTCTTTTGTGTTTTCTTCAACTGTACCTCTCAAACTTGTCAGTCTTATTAGCGTCATCACCTAGTAGGCCTGTTGTTGAAGCAAACATTGCAGAATTGGAATTTGAAGCATCTTGTGGCTAAATACCTCATTTGGTCTCCTCCAGCTAACTGAATGATGTATTGATGGGCTGAGCAGACAGTTACACACTGAGAAAGGTTGCAAGGGAAATCGATAGAAAACACCAAGCAGGGAATCTCTCTCTCTCCCTCCCCCTGTCATATCAGTTTGCCCACTTCCTGTATTTATGCACAGTCTCAAGTCAGGGTGCTCTCTTTTTTTTTTTTCCTTCCTTTTTTCCTTTTCTGTATTGATAGTCATACAAGGTAGCTCAATAGTCATCACTCATCAAATGCTATCAAGGCATTTTATAGTCTTTTTTCATTTTTTCCTTCACTTTGTTTCCCCCTCCACAGTCAGAATCACTCTATCACCCCTTCTGGTGTTTTTGTTTCTTCCTCTGTGGTCCCCTCTCTATTTTACTCTTCCCTCCATCTGTTAATGCTGTTATAGCTGTGCGTGGGAGTATAGGGAGGGATGGAGAGAAATGGAAAAAACATGAGGAGGGGGGTGCTCTTCTACTTGTTACGAGCTGGATTGTTTGGGGTGGGGTGGGTGGGTGTGTGTGTGTGTGTGTGTGTGTG